AAAACAAGGTCAAACAACTTCTATACAATGAAAGGAGACTGCGACCACACAAAAGGCCACACCATCTTAGTCTTCATACCTTAATCAGCTTTGTTGGAACTACAATGTCGGTACAGGTGGAGGTAAGTAGCCGTACTGGCCACTTCTATTCTATCTGCCTGATCCTTCAAGGCAAGGAGGTTACCATCGCGTCTTTCGCTCATTTTCAGCCCTGATATTCTTCCCCATCTGATCATTAACCTGGTACACTTCCAGACGTTTCTTCGGCTTCGTCAGTGAGCTCAAGAGACTAGGGCGACCAAACGGAAGAACAATACATCATAGCTTTTATACCTTCGGCTGGGCTTAGCAGAAGCGGCGTTCCGTAGGCTTCTAATAAGTCCAAAACTAAGATCGGGTAGACAAAACGGAATAAGTACAGTTGGTAGAGCATAGCGGTTACGTGTGTCAATGGCTTTTTTTCATATTGATTTTTTCATAACTTGTCGCTATGTGTGTATTATAGTCACAGAAACCAAATTTTGCTTTATAAGGTAGAATCTATTCTAAGTTTGGGCTGACTGTCTTTCGCAGAACTTCAGCAAACGGCCCCCCTGCTACTGGCATATCTGTGTTACCCTTTTAACACTTGCTAGCCCAGGCGCCACGTAAAGCCGTTTGATCAATGACCATACCCGCCCACGACTCCAAAGGGCTTCACCTCCAGGCCACATTTAAAGGGGTTGAGGCCGGTAAACTTGTGCCTTATGGCTTAGCCGGTGGAGGCTTGAGGGGGCAGGGTCAAACTGAAAAGCCATCTGCACTATGCTGGTGACGGTACGTGTGGCCTCGATTTGATCTCATTCAAGAGTAGTATGCCTCTAAAGTGGGCCGGGCGATGAAGGTCGGTTTGACGACAGATTGGCACAGTCCGGAGAAGGCAGGCCAATTGAGACATGGTGTCATACCAGCCTAGTTGGTAGGTCGTCACTTCCGACTTCCTTAACTCGCATAAGCACTCAAAGGAAGAGTGGATAGTATGGGAGGATCAAGAGGATACCTCATTGTTGAGTCGATTTT